AGTCATATCTAGCTTGTAATCACCATGTACCACTCAACGTGTTTAAATGATCAGGTTAGTTTTATAAATTAAGAGCTAATATTTGTGAAAATATTACAATAAAACACAAAATTTGCATGCTCTTATTTAGACTGACGTAATACCAAAATGTTTGATTTTTATTGCTCCAAGTTGTTTAATGAAAGTAAAAAATAGAACCGTTTATATTCACTTATCCATTTATGTCACCATTTTATTATCACTGTTGTTATCAGAATGACATTGTTATTTCCTAAAACTTACACATTTATCACTGTCATATAAATCATCGTAATAAATTCAAAGAAGGATAACGAAATTTCATCAGTCTTTTGTGTATATATATCGTGTGTATACATATCGTTTCTGCACGTTTAAGTACAGCTTAAGTAAATGATTTCGTCGAAAAAAAATGCGCGCTGCTTAGGATTCCCACAATAGGATGAAACGGCCGTCCAGTGCTTCCAGGTTTTCATTTGTGGTCTAACTTCAATTGACTCATGCTCTCAACTATTCAAATATATATATATATATATATATTATTGATTTCAAAAGTCGTATTACTAAGTGATATGTGCGTTGTCAAGATGTCTTGAATATATTTAGGCTGATTTCATATTCAGAACAATCGTATATTTGAAATCACAAATCAATTATAAAATTTTGATAATGTAATAAGAAGACAAATGTTATCAGAACTATGTGATGATAGATTAGCGTAATACATTTCGAACAATCTGATCACAAATAAGCTTGTGAAAAACATTTATATATAAAAATAAAAGGTCAACTAGACTGGAAAAGGGGGGTAAGAGTAGACAATTTGACACCTAATTATTCTGAATAATAGGCCAATATTACCTGGGTAGGTTTAAGGTGAGAGTAAACTGTTTTTGAATACATAAAGAGGAGAGACTGACCAGTTGCAGTCCTAACAAATCGATGGGAAGATTCAAACAAACAATACTAAGTTGAATTTAAACTTCACCCCATCGCACAAGCAAGTGGCTATCAGGACTCAGTGGCCGAGTGGATAACGCGATGGCGTTTGAAGCTAGGGTACTGGGTTCGAGTCCCAGAGTGAACATCAACTCTGAGATGCAGGTACATCCAGCTGACGAGTCCCAAATAGGACGAAACGCGCGTCCTGGATTCCACTGCTAGCCACTACCCATCTCTGCTATACATAAAGAGGGTTTGAATTTTCGTATGGCTAAGACTTCAATAAACCTTAGTATACGCCCTTTTACACTTTTATACAACACCACAAAGCCGAGTTTAGATCAATCGTATGACCTGTTTCGATCATATGTTTAGCAATAGAGTATGATGGATGTTTATTTTCTACTCTTATCGGGTCATTTGATTCTATTTGTTTCTGCAACCATTTCGGTACATGTTCACACACTCTAATTTTCAGATCACGATTGCTCCTCCCTATGTATGTGTGACCACACACACACACACATTTGAATTGGTAAACTCAGTGGGATGTTTTTTTCATATCTTTGTTCTTGACAAGTATATGTGTGATCAGATTGTTCAAAATGTATTGCGTTAATATATCACATATTACTGATAATCTTCGTATTCTTATTACACAATCGAAATTTATCAAATTGCTTTCAATTATAAAATATTTTTTATAGTTGAAATCATGAAGCTAGACCATCCTGGAAAACCTGGAAGCACTAGACGGCCGTTTCGTCCTATTGTGGGACTCCTCAGAAGTACGCATCCACGATCCCGCCTCGCGAGATTCGAAGAAACAAATTGAATATTGTGAAAATAATGTTAATTGTCGTTAATTAATGAATAACTATCTTCAGAATAATATGGGCACAGATTTATCTTGAATAGATAAATAAATTCAGTGTAGTCATTTATTTATTACAATCCAGTTCATTAAATACTGTTTTTAATGACATACGTCTTGTATATATTCGTAGGTCTCATTCCTTTTAAAAGTTTTGGTGTTAAGTTACTTTTAATTCAAATACTGGAAATTTATAACCATGAAACGAGTTACAAATTTTATTCACCAGTTTTCTTTAAAACTAAATCCAAATAATTGTTTATCATCAAATTAATCATATTTAACAGACATAATCCAACTATATGTGTTAATTGAGAGATTCAAAAGTTTATGAATGGAAAGGCATTGGTTACAGTTTAATTCTAATGGTTTAGATGAACCTCTGGCTTACTTATTCTTAATGATATAAATATTAACTTATAGTTATAAACGGTCATATAAAAAGAATTGTGACTACAATCTAATTGATCTATTTTTATGAAACTAGTATTCAGTTGTAATTGAGATCATGAACCTTTCAGTTTTAGACCACCATTGAAAATCTGAAAACATTAGGTGGTCGTTATGTTACAGCACAAGCTTCCTCATCACTGATCATCCATGATCACGCATGCGGAACTTGAACCCAGGACCTCCTGTCTTGTTTGCCGACGCTTAACCCCCAGACCAATTAGCCGACATTCGACAGTGTTAATGTTACACTTTAATAAATCTACGATATAGCGCGACCTTTTCAGACGTTGACACCGTTGAATGGAAGCCATGTTCTGGGGTGGACGTTCACGAAACCGGAGGTTCTGGGTTTAAGTCCAAAGTGTGAGATCGTTAATGCGTACTGCTAAGCAGTGCTGTGCTAAGACGAAAATGCAGTCTAGTGCTCTCATGTTTTCAATAGTTGTTTAACATTGATCGGTTTATGGTCTCAATGAAATTCAACAATCTCCACAATCCTATACTGGTACGTATACTTCAGTGGTACAGTTAAATTTAACAAAAAAAGTAATAAAAAACCATTCCTTTAGGACGACGTGTGGTTAAATATGCTAAAAGCCACAAACTTACTGCATTGATTTCTAGGGACTAAAAATAAATAAAATACTAATATGTGCACACCGTGGCATTTGAAAATTGAGACATTATATAATTATCTCCACTTCACAGTACTTTGTGATTTAATTCACCGTTTACCCTTCAGGGGTTATTTAAACGAGAAAGAAAAAAAATCGGATTATTTTATTTTCTCATTACAAAAATCTACTTAAGTATACTCTGAAGAGCACCAGAAAATATTTCCATTCTAAAATCAATGCATTTTCTACATTACACATGAATGAATGCATTAACTAACGTATCAACTTTAGTAAGGTATTGAGTGATTTATGTCATCACAAAGTTAACAACTGATTTAAGTTGATTATTTAAAAACACTTTCATCATCATTTAGTTGAAATTAATCGTTATTTATTAAACAAGTGTTAGCGATATTCTTAAATGCAGTCCGGAATTACTATCTCTAATTCGACTTGATTTTTTTTTCTAATTACCGTTATTAAATATTCTGTTTTAAAATCTTCGTCAACCTCCTCAACTTTTTTTTTAACTAATGAGCATAGTATTAACAACACCGGAGAGAAATTTTTTTAAAATCTTTTCGATTGAGTAGAGAATTGTAAAGAAATCCAGGATTTGTATCTTCTTTGATTGTTAATTATGGTTGGTTGTCTAATCTCATTGAATTTAATTAATTGATTATTATCAGGAGATATGGAACTTGAATTTCGTATCTTCTGAAATATGTAATTTTCTGGTCGACATGATGTTATATATATATATTTTGTTAAGATCCATTAAGCAGATTATTTTACTCCACACACTTGTACAATTGTCAGACAGTAAATTTATCTTATGCTATTTCTCATCATATATGATTATACTGTTTTACGTAATTCGCAGAACATACTATGATCCTTAAAATGTGGTTTATTATGTGTTATTTCTTTATGGCCTGTTAATTATCACATGATACAATCGGCAATTAGGACATAGACTTTTTGATCAGATCAATGACGCATAAACCAGTAGGAACAACCTAGAGTTGATTTTCAGTTCTTATTGGTGTATCTAGATAGTAGCCTTTCGCCTAACCCAGAAATAACATTATGATTATGAAACTATTTAAATACGAGCTCTATTCTATAAGTGACCTTCAGATAAAATGTAATTATTTCATAATTCTTTGTATGGCATTACTGACCACCTCAGATGTCAGAAGAAATATAAGCTTTCTTTTTATGTACAGAGTTGTCTTAGTAATAAAAACCTTAAGAAAAGGTTTTATGATACTCATATTTTATCTCCATGAATTTTCGCATTCAACTTTGTTAATCATTAGTTGTGTTTATTTTCCAAACGATAAATGAGCAATTGGTTACCAATTAGTACTCCATATTATATTTATCTAGTCCGCAGTGCTAAGCAAGTCCTATCTATAGAGTAACAAAATGTAACTAGGTTTTCAACATCTCCCAACCTATGTCTGGATATCATATGGTTTAATGGGGCCTGAAGAAAGATCTGGATGTTTGTTTCATACCAGCTGGCACTTTGCAGCAAGACGTATTTTCACTCATAATGGAACTAATACTCATCATATAATTTTGATGTTTGTAAATCAGTATTGTTGATATAATGAAGTGTAGCTTCGGAGTAAACTCCATGACTATGACACTGAATGATATTGTTTTGAGTCCAGTGGGAATATTCGATTCCATTTACACTGCAGATCATCATTCTGATGAATGACAGTTCCAAAAAAGAATGCAGATTCATATCGTTCTGGTGATTGATTCCAAACATCCAATATCTTAATATAACTACTTACCATTTTGTCTTGCAATTAAATCACTTTCGAGAGCATTCTTATCAATCGAAATCGATCATAGAATTGCATAAGTTATGTCGGTAAACTAGGTACTCAAGACCCATCTTTATTCAATTGATCCATGAGACATAGAATGGGATGATGTGCTTGAGATATACAACAAACTCAACATGGTGATACGATTAGAATAATGTATAGTAATAGTATAGTATATATAATAATTTTGTATATTATGTGCATTAGTTTATTGGATGACTTTCAGTTTACTGCTTTATTAATTTTTAGCTTTTATATCAAACATTTTCAAAGCAATCCAAGTTTTGTATGATCCCTTCAACTAATGGAACACTGAATTCAGACAATTTTCTTATCACGAAATATTAGCATGTAAAAATATGGATAATTTAAAAAAATAAACGGATCAAATATCATATTCCCACACGTATATACAATCAACATGATTAAACGTAATGATTTTGGCTCCAGACAAGGTTGAAAAACAATTCAACCAACAAATAGGACAAAGATATAAATCAAAACTTTTATGTACTATTACTATAACAAAACAAAGAACTTGTCAAACACGTAAAACAAATTTGATTAGTAATAAAAAAATTTCATATTCTAGACTGTTTCTTTGTCAATTATTTAGTGTTTTTATATTATCAATTGTCAATATTGATTGTACAATTGTTGTACGTTTAGTAATGCATGAAGAACAACAACAAAATACTACACTTGTTGGTGTATTAATCAAATATATACCGAATTATATTATAGCAGAACATAAACACTTATTATTTAGACCAATTAATAAAGATCATGCCTATTTATTTCATGTAACACCAGAAGATGGTAGAATTTATGTAATCAAAAGAATTGATCGTGAAGAATTATGTCCTTACAATGAATTCAATTATCATCAACATCATTTTGTAGAAATACCATCTAATGTACAAATTCAACAACAAACAATATTAAATTTGTACAATGCTTCATATTTACATGATTGTCGATTAACATTCGGTGTAAGTTTAATTAAAATAATAAATAACATAATAGATATCATTGAAGTAATTCGTGTTCATATAACTGTAAATGATATTGATGATAATTATTGTACATTTACACCTAATTCTAAACAGACTATTTATTTACCTGAAGATATTAAACCTCATTCCCATATTAATATACCATTGCATCAACCTTTGGATCTTGATGCTCATCCAAATCACACTGTCAGTTCCGATAAAATATTTTTATATACAAAAAATAAAATTAATGAAACATATCAGTCATCAGCATTTCAATCACGCGAACTAGATTTACCATTTAACTTAATTATCTTACCAACTGGATCATTGATTAAGCCATATTTATTAAATCTTTATATAACGAAAGCATTAGATTATGAAATGTTAGCTGAATATCATCTTATAATTGAAGCAAACAGTAAGTATGGTAAGTCGAGTCAAAGATGCTACCTCGAATTGAATATCATAGTGCAAGATAGAAATGATTATAAGCCATATTTCACAACGAACTATACAGAAATTAACATCGCTGAAAATTTCAATACAGCCTTACCAATATATACATTTTCAGCTATTGATTTAGACATGGGAGATGTATACAGCAAAATAATTTATGAACTAGATTCCAAAGCGTCAGATCTAATCAAAACAACCTTTTTCATAAATCCTAATAATGGTTCTGTATATCTCAAAAGTAAACTAAATCACAGATCACATTCAATTTATACTATTCCAATTATTGCAAGAAATCCATTCAGTTACGAAGTGAATGTTTCAAAAGAGTCAATTAAAAGCCAGTCAAATGAAGATAACTCTGTTTCCTTCAATCCAAAACAAATCGAAACAGATTCTTTTTCAACTGCAAAGTTGGTTGTAAAGGTTATTGATGTTAACGACAACTCCCCTGTAATAACATTCCAGTCACTTGATGGGAATACAACATTAAGTATACCCGAACACTCAAAGAATCTACCATTAGATTTTGCTATCATTTCGGTAACCGATGATGATGATGGTTTGAATGGCAGGATCTCATGTTTTCTCAAAGAAAAATACAGAGATCAATTTAAATTAACATCGATAATTACTAACAATAATATCGAGACATTGGCCGGTGTTGCTAATAGCGGCATAGCTAAAAATCAGGGTGATGAAATAAATCTTGAAAAAAGAATGTGGTCGCAGTCAGAAATGATTTATAAACTATCTGCATCCGTATCGTTTGATCGTGAACAAGTTGATTATATAAAATTGATAGTCGAATGCCATGACCATGGTAAACCACCTCTAATGTCAAATAAAGTACTATACGTTGAAATTACTGATAAAAATGATCACAAACCGATGTTTAATTCCAGTGAATTACAATTAGCAATAACGGAAGACAGTGATCCAAAAAGAAAACAGATGCATTATGAAGTTATAAAACTTTTAGCTACAGATAATGATACTGGGATAAACGCTATAATAAAGTATTACATAGTAGATGATCATAAAATCGCTAATCACTTCCACATTAATGAATTAACTGGGCTTATTCAATCCAAGGGTAACTTGGATCGAGAAATATGTGATCGCTATGATTTTACGGTTGTTGCGCAAGACTGTGGTCTACCAGCTTTATCGAATTCAATCAATATTCAGATTATCATACATGATTACAATGATGAACAGCCTACATTCGCAAAACAAGTATATGAATTTCATATGACTGAAAACAATCCAGTAGATCAATATATTGGAAGTATTACTTGTTCAGACAACGATCTAGGCAGTAATGGTTTAATTCACTTTGAAATCGAATTAATGCCTTATAATAAACACACTCATGCCAGTGAGCTGTCGTTATCTTTATCTTCATTGTCGAAAGCAGCGAATACGGCAAATGGACATTTAGTTAATATATCAACTAAATTACATTTGCCATTTGAGTTACTTAGTTATTACGACACACTGAAAAGTATTTATTTAGTAAAGATATATACGAAAGGTAAAATTGATCGTGAAAAGTTGAAAGAAATTTCAGAAATACAAAAATCATCAACATCATCAAAATCATCATTGTCATCTACATTATCACACAAATCTTATGGAATGAAAACTAAAACTTCGAAAATGATTGATAAGACAGACATCGTTGCATATAAATTTTGGATTGTAGGTGAAGATCAAGGTCAACCTCAACAACGTGGTCGTTCATTAATACATATTATTGTCGAAGATGAAAATGATAACGAACCATATTTTGTCTTACCAAAAGAAGATCACACTGTTATTGAACTCTCATACTTAGAAATAGTACGATATCCAATTATTAAAGTGAGTATTTTTCGCTATTTTCCAGCTATATGATTATCTTTTTAATTTGAGAACATCATTATAAGTACCATTTAAAATGGAGTCACTTTAACACAAAATTTACAAATAAATACATAGATAAATAGTAATATACTATAAGATGGTGGTTGGAGGTGGTCAACAGGAAACCCTGAACCAAGTATTCGTGCTACTTCGCACTCGTCAGCAAAGTGTACCCGTAATCTTGAGGGAACTGGTGCTCTCCGACGGATTCGATCCCGGATCACCCAGCTTCACAGTCAGAGACGTTACCACTGAGCTATTCGGGCAGCGACCAACCTCCTGTACGACTGAGATGTAATCACAATTGATTGATCACTGGGTGGTGATCAATGTCATGCGTGTCAAGTACTTCTTAGTGCTGATCGAATGCTATCGAAACCCGGTTGCAGGGTTTCCTGTTGACCACCTCCAACCACCATCCTATCTCAACATAGTACACGCAGTGTCGAGCCACCTAGACTAGTGGCCACATTGCAACTTGATCGATAACATTCGATCAGCACTAAGAAGTACTTGACACGCATGACATTGATCACCACCCAGTGATCAATCAATTGTGAGTAATATATTATCAAAATAGTTGTCGACTATATATGTGTAGAATCATTCTAAGCCAAATGGTTTATATTAAAACAAATTCCACACCACTAGATGAAACAAAATTACAGCTTTAACATGACGAAAATGAGAACTTAGTTAATGTATCGAATTAAAAAGGAAAACACTAATTACTTTGAATGATTTTACTACATCCCTGTGATGTCTTTTTGTTTTTCTTAACAGTTTTTTCAAACTTTTCTAATATTATAAAGTGTTTTTGATTCTTACAAGCCTAGGATATTGTTAGTTTATCTATTACCACTTTTCAAATCAAAAATAAAAACTTACTTGTGTTAAGTGATAAATACTTGATCCAGTTGAAGTTGAAAGTTACTAATTTAATTGATCGTTAACGAATTTTCATATAATGATACTACTGATAGACAAGGAAATGAATTGATATAATGGACAGACACAATCAGTGAAATCTTTTTATTTAAATGTTTTGAAGATGATAAGATTTGATCATGTTTAAAAGATCTAGTGAATCTAGTGAATTTTTAAAACATGCATCTATATGTTTAAACAAATGAATCAATCTGATAGAATTTTGAAGTGAAACACTTCATAACCCATAAAAAGTCAATCAAAAACAATTAAACGTATTGGATTATAAAGACGTTGTGATTTTATAGTAGTTTTGTTTTTGTTAAATGAATGTGTTATAAACATCATTTTTCTGTGTATTTGAATAAATCTTTAAACGTCAATTTAGTGCCCTCTACCTTATTTGAGTACATCAATAATAATGACAATTTTCGAAAACACTGGTTATATAAGTTAATACTATTCAATCGACAAATAATTGAAATTATGAGTTCATTGAAGTTAGACCACCATGGAAAACCTGGAAGCACTGGATGGCCGTTTCGTCCTATTATGGGACTCCTCAGCGATCCCGCACTCGCGAGATTCGAACCCAGGACCTATCAGTCTCGCGCAAGAGCACTTAACCAGTCCCATAATAGGACGAATTGGCCGTCCAGTGCTTCCAGGTTTTCTATGGTGGTCTAGCTTCAATTGACTCATGATTACAACTATGAAAATATACTGAAATCTCCACAAAACCCCTTCTGACAAATAATTCCGTTTTCACATTCAGCAAACTAACACAAATTCGCCAGTGGTGTCGCACATGCTTTCATTCTTTCTCCACCTATTAAATCTGAATTTCCATCATTTTTGCGCTTCTTGTTAGCTTAATTAATTCCTTTTATCTGAGAATCCTCTTCATCTTTATTGTTTTTCAATATTACAAATAAAAACAGTGTGGTTGGACATTTTAATGACTTTCCTTTCAGCTGTGCAAATATTGCTGAAAACCTCCCTGTTTTAGTATCTTTTTCAATGAAGAATTCCGAGTGCTAACCGTATCCAATCGTATGATTTTATAGAAAGCTTACAATCTATTAGGAAGAAATATCAAGTTTTCTAGGAATATTTTTCTATCTTTCTGACATTTAAAGAGAGAAAAAGCCATTTGACTGGAATTCATGCATCCAAAATATGATTATTTAAAGTATGAATTGTTGCACATAAAATGTTCAAACATTTCATAACTAAAGATGAATAACAGGTACTGGTTGTTGTATACCACTACGACTTGATATATATGATACAAATTAATTTGTTAAGAGATTATCTGATTAGTACCGAGAATGTATTACTGTAACTTAGTATATAAATTTGAATATTATAATTAAAATCATCATACTAATAATAATTCAACGGTTTTGCTATTTATTCATTACTGCCATTTAACTATTTCAATGTAGTGGGTTTTGGGTATATTTAAATCACATTCATCATAGATTAACACTGACTCAGATTTTGAATCAACAATTTAAATCGCACATTAAATTCGCTTATTATTATTCTTATTTTTGTTTTAATATTTAATAATTTCATAAAAATTGAGTTAAAAATAAATAAACAAAAAGTGAAAGTCATAATAATAAGTATCCAATTAAATTAATATGAACAATTCACTTTAATTATTATTATATATTTATTTTATTATAGTTAACTTAAATAGTTATTATTGTACTTCATATCATTAAAAAAAGCGATTTTATCTCCTTTTATAGAACTAAAAAACAAAAAAAAAAGAAAAACACTTAAATCAACTAAAAAAAATTTAAAAAATAAACAGAATATTTACAAAATAATTTTATATTTGAAATGAAACACACACACACACAAAATAAATGATTATAACTTTATATGAATTAAGAATACGTTAGAGGGGTTGGTGGTGATGGAAAATGTTCGAATTCATGTTTCATTATAATAAGGTCATAATTGAATTATGAGATTTACTTAAATTGAGGTGTTTTTGGAAAGTGTTTTCTTTTTTTCTTTCGTACCAGGTCAAAAAAATAAGCATAATAGATTAAGTATACATAAATTGGTGTTTTAGGAAAACTTCTTCAAGGTCAATCTTAAAATAAATGTGTTATTGACAGTATTTATCTTATTCTTTTTAAAGTTATTTGATTAAATTTCAAAAAAAGAATGATAATAATTGTTTTATTTGACCTGTTAGAGTTTTGTAATTATTTTAGAAAACGAAAACGCAATTCAAAACGAACATATCACTTAGTAATTGGCATTTGTATGTGAGAAAATTCAATGTAAAGTTTGGTAATACAGACTATTTATAAATTACTGAATAATCTAAAAAAAATGTCGATTAGTATGCTCAAATTTCATAGTTTGAACTGTTGAGGTTAAAACAGAAAGCATCTTATTTATATGTTGATATGACCACTCAAAGAAATACTGCTTCCTTAAATCCTGATGAATGTCAGATTAAGATTTTCTTGGATTAGCTGAAATATAATCCTTTTTGATTTTGGAAAATCTCCACTGAGAAGTTAGAAACATACTATATGAATACAATTTACAAATGTTGTCCAATCGAAATAAGACATCAAACATTTACATCCAAACAGAAGTTTTATACTTCTATGTAGTTGCTTAATATCACTAAAATGTTGTTATCAACATATGTATAAGAAAATACGGTGCTCTAATGCATGTTATCATTTATTTCTATAAGTCTTTATTAGTTTAACTTAAAACCTATCTGCAAGTGGTTTCTAGGCAAATTTTTAATAATTTTAATAGTTTAGATCATGAATCAATTGAAGCTAGACCACCATAAAAAACCTCTAAGCACTGGACGGCCATTTTGCCTTATACCGGGACTCCTCAGTAGTGTTCACCCACTATTCCACCTCACGAGATTCGAACCCAGGACTTATCACTTTCCGCGCGAGCGCTTAACCTCAGAACCACTGAGCTGGCATCATCAACCAATCCACGAAATTGAGATCGGTAGGTCCTGGGTTCGAATCTCGCGAGGTGGAATCGTGGATGCGCACTGCTGAAGAGTCCCACAATAGGACGAGACGGCTATCCAGTGCTTCGAGATTTTCGATGGTGTTCTAGCTTCAATTGATTCATGATCTTAACTATTAAAATTACTATGATATTCAAAAAACCCCTTCTGAAGTTTTTATTAGTTGCTATTTAGTGAACATTTATTGGTATTTATTGGGTATACTAGTGGAACATTTCTTTAAAATGTTTATTTTTTGATCCACCATGTCTGATTTTATTTTCAATGTTATGAATAAGATCTAGATCAAGGTGCATGAAATCATAACCTTTACATTTAGTTCATTACCTTTATGAAAAAGTGATTAAACCCTTAGATTTACGGTTTATCAAAATTTTCGCAACTAAACATGTATGAGTTTGTGTTATCTACTATAGAGACTTAGTGCAGTAGATTTTATATATCATTCATTTTTGTTGATTTCATAATTTATTCATTTTTATAACAGCGCTTCAGTAAAAAAAATTTTGCATTTTTACTTACATGTCCTGTTCAGTTAAATACAAACTGTATTGGTCACGAATTTTACTCGTAAATGTTACGTAACAACGTAGATTGAGTGAATAGTTATTTTCCTCACCTAGAATAGTATTTCATATCTGTTTTACTTCAAGATACAAAAAGCATAATACACTGTATTTCCGTCAAGGGAAGTAGTAAAATAATGTATTCTTGATAGTTTAAGAGATCTACACAAATACCGATATTTAATCTCTGTATAATTTTCATACAAACATCATCTATTTACTAATCACAATCTATGTGAGCAGAAATCCCTTCCACATTCTTAAGAATTCTTAAACTTAAGTATATGACATGAGTTCTTTATCAATAACTAAGAAAATGCTTCGTTTTCATCTTCTCTGTGGTGATTTATTTGTCTGTAAATCAACCTTTTCTAATCTCTTCATTAGTTTACGTAGTATGATTACACGTCTGTTTAAATAATCCTTCAATGCTTTATAGAATCATGAATTGATAATTGTTCAATGGCATGATTCAGGATTAAAAATTTGACGGATAGTTTTTGAACCTAAACTAATTCAAGTTATTTTATATTTTTTCAAACATTAGTGAGTTGAATTGATCCTTTAAAAAAATTTCCTTCATTTAGCATAGCGTGTTAGAAAGAAAATTGTTTTGACACCAACGTCATACAAAGATGATTATTCTCATTAAAACTGACATTCAAAATGAACTTATTGCATATTTATCTTCCGTAACAGAAGATGAAGTTATATGTGATCTGTTTATGTGTGAGTGGCTCTAAGGTGTCTTCTTTGTTCATCATGTTTTCACAATCATGGGAAAATGTTTACTTTCCTTCACTACACTAAATAAATGTATGATAGTATCTGGAATGGATACTAATTGATTTCAGTCAAAAGTTTCTGAGCGCGCTTTCTGGATTTCACTGCTAGCCACCACCTATGTTTGCTTCTCATCAACTATTAACAACTTGTATCTACAATAAATAATGAAATGAAAAGGCTAAATATTGATATGGTTCGATAAAAAAAGACACACGGGAAATTAAACTTCCCATTACAAATTTGTTAAACTAATCTCACAGTTGAAGATCAAATGAGCAAGATCGATTCGACTTCTCAAAAGTTTAAGTGATCGAAATAATTGCGAAATGACTTTTCTAATGACAGATCTACTTTTGAAAACTGGTCGTATTTGGTTGTTGTAGTGACAAAAATGTAATATCCGTTCTCAGCGATGAAAGCAGAATTATAACATATTTCCTATGGAAGAAAACTTAGATCAGAGTAAAGCATAAAATCAAATCCAAAAGAAACTGATCAATAGGAATAGGTTTAAAAGAAATGAGATTCTCAGAATCAATGTGGTCTGAACCCAGTACCAAATCAGTCGTAATATCTCGTATATATTTATGATTTTCCTCTCATTTATGGGTAGAAAATAAATCTGTAATTAGAGCAAACCGATTCCATTTTGTTTATTCTAGTTCTAGTGTCGTGTGAGCTAAATGTAATGTTGTCAATTCCATACTTATGGTGTTTTGGTATTCCTAATCATTTTTTATATGAATGACGTAATGAGTTATTATGTGGTCAGAATGCTTCAAATATTTTGTGCAGATATGAATGTCATGACGTCCTGATAAACTTCATGTCTCTACTTCTCTAAATTTTTCAATTCTTAAGTGTTCTGAGTATTTGTCTATTATTTTTTTCTGAGTTTTTAGCGAAATGTACTATGCATTTGACCCCTATCATTTAACAACTCACATTTAATATAGTTTAAAACATAACTCGCGTTTCAGGAAGAAGCAAATTTAAATATAACACTTATTTTCTGGACATGTTCTTTTGTGTCGTAAATTAGAATCTAGCTCTCAGTAATAAAAATAAGATTGATGGAAATCCATGCAGATTTAAATATATGTGAGGTAAACTAAACCTAAATATATTTGAATTTATTTAACGGCTTAAAACATTTCTAGATAAAATATAGATCTCCTAACTAAACTTCTTTATTGCCATGTAATTACTGTGATAACGAAAACGATATTCAACTTCTCATATTCGTTCTATTCCTACAAATAGTATTCATCTCCCATTAGGTTTTGTTCTCAATACTTAAACGAAAGTAGACAGACATAACTTCAAATGTTGGAATTAATGGTGAAAAACAGAGTTTTAGCTGGTTAACCACGTCTTTACTTATATAACAATACTGCTTCAGTTATTACTATTAAACATATAAAATTGTAAATAGCACTAGTTAAAGTAACTTGGAGTTTGTATAAATGAAATATCCAACCACAAGTATCTTGATTACATTGTTTTATTTGTGTATTCACGAAAATGTCTAGAAGTAAAGGTAAGTTTCCTATCAGTCTTGATATTACATTAGCTATAATCGAATAAATAAAAGAAAAGAAGAGAAAAAATCATATTCAAATAATTGTCGAAAAATTTACTATGCTTGCTGACTTAAATCGTTAGGGCTAGTTAAACTAACATTAATTTATTTCGATAATGTAATAAGAAGACTAAGATTATCAGAACTATGTGATGATATATTAGCGCAATACATTTCGAACAATCTGATCACACATAGTATACTTGTTAAGAACATTTATATATAAAAATAAAAGGTCAACTAGACTGGAAATGGGGGGGGTAAGAGGAGACAAGGATAATAATAACACCCAATCACTCTGGATAATAAGCTAATATTACCAGGGTAGGCTTAAAGAGGTAATATTAAGGTAATATTAGCTTATTAGCCAGAGTGATTAGGTGTCAAATTGTTTTCACATTATTTTATTATTATTATCCTTGTCTCCTCTTACCCCCCCCATTTCCAGTCAATTTGACCTTTTATTTTTATATATAAATGTTCTTAACAAGTATATATGTGTGATCAGATTGTTCAAAATGTATTGCGCTAATATCGAAATTTATCAAAGGGACTAATTGCTTTAACTTAATTTATTTAATTGAATATAATTAATGTGAATAAAACTGTTTTATTACCATATTTATATTTATGTAATTTCAGTTACTTGCAATTGATAACGATGCAGGAATAAATGGCACTGTCAGATATGAAATACATCAAATAACGCGGGAGATTATAAAGAACAATGATCAAATAAAAACTATAAAAGATTCATTTTCAATGAATCAGTCAGTTAAAAACTATGAATTCTTAAAAAATTCTTTATTTACATTAAATCCATTGAATGGTTTATTACGTTTAAATACTCAGTTCTCTCAATCAGATGTAGACAAGATGATAAATATTCAAATAAAAGCTTATGATTTAGGTATACCTATATCAAAATATTCCTATATAACAATTCACATTAAACCAGTAAATATCACACCATCAGAAACAAAAAATGGCTTTGATTACGAATTAGATGATGATTACGATGTTGATCATATGGAAGATTGGGAAAATGATCATCTCACCTATTCGAATTGGAGTAATCATAATCGTTTTTCTTTAAATAATTACATAATCTTGTCTACAGTGGTGCTATCTATACTACTATCAATTATTTTAATGTGTTCTGTAGCTTGTATTATTAAATATAGAAAACTCAAAAACAATTCAGTAAACCACAATTCGAAAGATGCCAACGGACTTGATCAAATCAAAGGAGATTATCCTCTTAGTGAAGATGGATTCCAGAATATAAGTAAGTTTAACAAATAGTGGTAAACGTTACTGGCGAAAGATCAGAATATTTATCTACAGAAAAATTAATGTAACTCCGTTATTGTATGCGCAATAAATACGTCAACTTTACACGGACTAACAACTGTATGATTGTTGAAGTCCTTTGGTTTGACTTATAATAATGATTGAATTTTATCTTTCAAGTGAAGTGATAAAGTTAAGTCAGAATGACCTCTTTTTTAACGATTATGGTCTTTGGATACAACTGAAAGTGAAACCTGAACTTATATTTTGCAGCAAATGGCATTAATCAACAAGGAGTACCTCTAGTCTTGAGACAGCTAACGATAGGTAGAGCCTTTGATGTTAAAACTTTCAGAACCTATGATAGGCAACAGTTCCTGCAAAATTAAAGTTGTGCCAAGATTTAGGGATTTTCGCTTTTCTCTTTCAACTATTTCACGTTGAGTAACTGCACAAAGTCATCTGATAATAACCCTACATTTTTCAAAAAAAATGGAATAAGGTTAAATTTCATCTTATGTTATTCCATGGTTTTACCAAAAAATGTCGAAGGTGAATGAAGAGGTTTTTTAATTTCTGTGGAACTTCATTAAGAAATGATACTGTCGGTTGTCGTAGTTATATCTAATACACAGTTTATGTATTTATGTCACTTCTATGACCTACAATTTAACTGTATCCAAAATATTCGTTATTCTAGCTAGAAAATGTTATATAATCTGAATGAAGGTATTTTAAGTTGATAATTATACTGATTATCTGATTTTATTATGACTGTGGATGACTGTGTGATTAACAGTTCATGAAAAAATTGCAAAGTGTTTTGTCACATTGACAAATCAGAGACATTCCACCACTCTTAATAAACTTTGCAACGAAATACAAATCTATAAAGTTACTACGAAGTAAAATTCGTCGAACAGAATGTTTCTTTAAAGAACTACACAAACTTATCTATATTAATTGACACTGTTCATAGTTAAAAACAATTGATGGAAATACTTGAAATTATTCACGTGTAAAAACGTAGTTTAAATAAAATAGAATACCTATTTTATGACGGTTAATCTAAAGGGAGTTTGATGAATTCTTGTACATCAACCTTCTTTCAGTCTTATTATACGTTGGGACGAAGTAAAACGGTCAAACACAGAAACACTTAGTTAAAAGGAGAGATTTACTATGGTACAATTTCTTTTCGCTTTTCTCAGCAAACGAATGTAATAAAGAATCAAAGCCACATATAAAACACATCTCAACAAATTTATATTTTTATCATTGAATTTAAAAATTAAAAAGCGTTAGGACTGTAAGATGTATTGCCCTAAATTGTATGATTACAACTAAAATGTATGATAAATTATACCTTTATGTATGTCCTGTTAAAAAAACAGTATCAAATTATGGTATGCCCTACAGTTGATGCTCTCTTATTCTCGAGAACCGTATCACGCTCAAACATAATGACGGACAAATACATAAATGAAGCCAATAAAATTATCGAGAAATTTCAAGCGAAATACTTGAAATGTAATTCAATTAGCAAATAGACTCATGTGAACAATTTACTCATTAAATCATTTGAAATTACTCAAAATTATGAAAATTATTTTATCACAAGGATTAGTTTCGCATCAGTTTTAAATATTTTGATTGACACTGAAAAAACATACAACTGTCGGATATTTGCGATTATTCAAAGTTACATTCAGTAAATTTGTTGAAATTAGCTATTCATTAATTTATGCGAAGTACTATAGTTAGGATGTATTTGTCTTCAAATCTAGTAGAAGGTTAATATGTTTGTCGTTTTTTATTATAACTACTGTTAGCTGGTAGTAATTACATGACAAAAATTCTCACTCCAAGTTTCGGGGTAGCTTGCCGTTCTCAGAAAATGGTACTAACAATATTAAAAAAGCTTATTCATCCTATGGTATTTGTCCTAGAGGCACTTAGTGTCTGTCAGACAAATTATCATTGAGAAATTTACGTATATACTGGTCACCTAATAATTGACTCCATGTCTTTTATCTGATATTGATGACTCAATCTTTGTAAACAAAATGCATCATTGTGTTACCCTAACTCAAAATTGAAATAATTTGAGGTGGCTGAAAGGTTCTTTCATACTTCCTAGCTAGTGGATTCTGATGTCTTAGTTTCCAGTAAAACTATTTTAAAAATACGAACTAGGTTATCAATAAAATCTTCATGTGACATATATGCTAATGTAATACAAACAATGTTTCTACTAATTTATTTGAGGATGCAAGTCATATTTAGTGTCTTCAATTCTTGCTTATGTGGATATTCAGATACAGATCAAAAACCGTCTGTCAGATCCAAGATAAAATCTAGAACTTATTTACGTGACCATTATAACAGAGAAATTTCCTATATTATGTTATTATTTTTTTACTATACCGTCAAAGAGGTAATCATATTTTTCTCCATTCAATTGAATATCGCCTAAATCAATTTTTTATAATCTCCTTTGATTTCATTTTATTTTATTTTTATTACAGAAATGAGTCCGATTAGAACGAAATTCATACACGATGACAATATTCATAATATTGATTCATTATTACCCAACTTAATAAGTGAAATTCCAAATAATTCAATTACATCTAGTAACATTACACCTACAGTAAATTATGCAACATTACAATATAATACATCACTTTCCCAATATGTAAATAATCATCATCATGAAACAACAAATTCTACACTTTCTTCTCATTCTTCAACTACACAAGCTACTGTTCTTCCACAACCTTTAATTGTACGTTTAGAACCTATTTCTACAAATCTTTTAGCTAATAATTGTGTACAACCAATAAGTATATTGTATTCTACAAATTCTAAAGAACAAATTGATCTGAATTCAGTAAATCCTTTTTCTACTACTTGTTATCCATCTACTTCATATACTAATCATTCCTATAATGATAATAAATTTATTGATGTAACTAATGAAATATTTGAAGATTTACATCTAGTTTATGATCAGACAATAAGAAAATTATCCTATTTCAATGATGAAAATGTTTTAAATAAACATAACGATTATGAATGGAATAGTTTAACTAAGTCTACATTGCCAGAACTTCAACAATTATGTATTCATTCACAACCAGTAAGTAAATTTCATCTTTTATAACAAGCAAACCATTATTGATCTACATGTATTTACAATTAAGATAGATACTTTCATTTGAACTATTAATATATAAATAAAATGTATGTAATTCCCTACTAAAAACTTCATTAAATCTAAAACGTTTCTTAACATTGACTGAATGAACTCAAAGGGACTTAACTATAACCATTAATATATTATGTTGATTATACAGAGAACACTTGTACATAGAAAATGTACATTGAAAAGACATGAGATAGGCATGTCAAACTGCAGAAATTAGAAGAAATACAATTTTGAACTTTGAGAAATACTTATAGAAAAAATAGGCTATATGTTTTTCCTTCAACATGTTAGTAGATATTTCGGGGATTTTTTTTTTGTACAGAATTGTTCCAAATATTAACATTGTTTTACGTAAAAATGAATAGATGTAGGTTTTTTTTGAAATTCGAACAAGCTTAGAAGTATTCATAATCTAACGGTTCATAATGTACTTACTGTTAAATGAACCTGAAATATAGACAATATTACAGGACATTTTATTGTTTGTCTTTCATGCATAGGGTTTATTAATGAGATTTATTAATTAATATTAATTTTCTGATAATTCGAAAATAATTTCCAATACTTTAACTAGATCATTTTGACTTATTGATTAGTCGAGTCATTAGATTATCTTACGTTCTGATCTTTGATTGTACATTGTGTTTGTTTCTATCGACTTACGGAAACTTAACAGACAAATTCTATCTTGCATTTGGGTCATCCACAACTAGTAAGGAATACTCAATAGTTAATCTTTTCCTAGATTAATAGGACAAGACTTTTAAAGTAAACGTTTATACTTACACTTCCGATATTTCAGTTTTCATGAAACGGTTAACTCAAATTAAACTGAAATACATTTTAAAGTTTTAAATCATCAGCCGACTAAGATATATTGAATGTTTGTTTCATCCTAGTATAGAACTAATTAACAGTCCTTATCCACGACCTCTTAGATTACCTAATTCATAATAATCAAACCTCTGGGTTAGTACATTATTCTCTGTCTATTTCACTAACTTCCAGTTATTTACAACTCTTACTTGAGTAGATTCTCGTTATAGTGAGACCATCACCTATTGCAGCTGATGGTATTTTTCTCAAGTTCACACCGACTAAACTTCATTCATCACATTTTTCCTAATAGAATTAATGAAACTACCTCTTGATTATATTCAATTAACTACATAAACAGGCCATTTCAATATCATTTAAGGAAAATATGTTTAAAAATTATTTAATCCATGAAGGTGAGAATAAAAAAATTCTTTTACCGACTTTATTAGTTCAAACCTTTTATACAAATTTAATTATATTTATTGACACGTAAACAACATTGTATCTCATCTATATTTATTCACTTGAGTAACTTAATTTTAGTCAATTTTGATTAAATTATCCAAACGACACCATATAGATTTTTTTTAAATTTTTTTTCTTGGAACCATGTTTTGGAACGAATACTTTAAACAAAATTTAAAAGTAAATGTTATTTATTACTTATTTCAATGTAAAAAAATAATCAGGTAACTAATCGTTTCCATTTTCTCTTTTATTGATCTTGATTGGGTATCTCTGTCACGATAAAAAGACTAGTAACTTTAAAGAATCTAAAGTTTATAGGTATCATTGCCAAGTTTTGATTTGATAATTTTGAATAAATTGAGTATTGGGTAAATTGTTATAAATAAATAAATTAATATATTTGTAATATCGCAATGAGTAGAACGATTAGATTTTCTGACGTTTCGTGACTTAGTGTAAGCCACTTCTTCAGAGAATAAATAACCAAATTAATTTGGTTATTTATTACAAATATTATAAATATATTATTTATGTATGATCTAAAGTTTAGCTATTCAAGTTTTAAAGGCAAAATGTTTCAGATAAGCTGAATATTAATTTAATCACACTCGATATTTAATAGTCGCTATTTAAATAATCTTTCACATGAATATAAACAACTTCTTTTTTAAATTCACTTGGTATTGTTTGTTTGAATCTTCCCACTGATGTTTAGGACTGAAACTGGTCAGTCTCTAATTGGCATATGTGCATACTGTGTGTATGGCCTTGATATAGCCAGTTGCAGTCCTAAACATTAATGGGAAGATTCAAACAAACAATACCAAGCGAATGTAAACTTCACCCCATTACACAAGCAAGTAGCCATCAGGATTCAGTAGCTGAGTGGATAACGCAATGGCGTTTGAAGCGAAAAGAAACTGAGTTTGAGTCTCAGAGTGAACATCAACTGTGAGATGCAGGTACATTCAGCTGACGAGTCCCTAATAAGACGAAACACGCGTCGTGGATTCCACTGCTAGCCACTATCCATCTTATTTTACAAGGCAATACTGTTTTAACAATTGGAATTTAATCCTTTCAATTCAAACTCATTAAGTTTTAATCATGTATACTACGAGCAATTTTTTAAAATGTTCATTGTTTCCAAGAAATGTGTTGGTCGTGTTTTATAATATACTTTTAAATAAGTGACATATTATCAGTTCCCAATGAGAGTGGATTAAATCACTATACTTGAAGTTAATGTCAATAAACTCTTATCCCCAGCTTTTTTATTGAATTTTATATAGGTTACCATGTCAACACATATACATTTTGGGGACTAATGTTTAAAAAATACTATGATAATCATAGACTAAACTTCTGTTGTGGAAAAAAATGAAATTTTTATTTCCATTGACATTTTACTCATATATATATTTGTACAAACTCTAAGTAAGGAAAATGATGAATAAATTTTACGTTCTTGTTTTATTTAGTTGTATCTCACTGCAATACACTTAAAATACCCTGTTTATCGTAGAGGTAAAGGTATATCGTTATGATGCATATTTAAGAGTAGTGTAATCAAGAATATTTGAATTTCGGCTTAAAGATGTAAAACTGTAGTTAAAATTTAACTGAAAACCAAGTTTGTATTTCAATATAGTTTTTCCGATCTTTCCTACAGTCTGTCAGCATCACCAACATAATTTATTCTTACTCTTTGAGGAAACTCTAACAATAGAAAAACTTCGGAAATCCATTTTTCATCTACTGATATTATAAAAGTACGTCACTACTATTATAAATCTGAACAAACCATTTTGTTCACTTTTATCGACTAGCCAGAATATTTTTATTCCCAAAAAGTAACATTTTAAACTTAATGGTGGCCAGTTATTTGCTTTATTGTGGAGATATTCAGATATGTGCTAGATTGTTTTTGTGTAATCATGAAATGCTTTCACAAAACCCCCATCAAAATACCATCAGAGACAAACGAAATATGTTCAGATAAAGCAACTCCCTTCTTTCAAAGTACACAGGAACATTTTCTTCTTTATATGATACGAAAAATCGTCAGTCAGTAGATCGCAACTGTTTGGGTTTCAGACAAATTTTTGATTACTGGCAAGCTGAATGCTGCAAATTGTAGAACTTCATAAGATCTTGCTAGGTATGCTATAAAATTTTAAAATAGTAGTTTGTTAAAGCACTCAACGGGGACCTTCATTTGTCTTAAAAAATGTATATTTGAAGTGAACTAAGTTATAAATAACAGCATAATAAACACAGATGGCATCTAATCAATTTAAAGCTTTAAGAGTGGGTAACCACTGGAACCAAGCTACTGAGTGAATTAGTTAAATAACTTCTTTGAAGTGAACTATAAATAACCTCAAAATACCATAGATTATATACCAAATAATTCATTTTTATCCAAATATTTAGACATATCTTCGTAGTTCATAGAACGCAAGCATGAAAGCCTAAAGAATGTGAAAAGGAAATTCATTTATAACAAAAGTGTAAATCATGTATTCCTCAATAATTTATAAATAACTAAAATTCTCTTGTCCTTCGTACCCTAAATAATTTTGAAGAATGATCTTGATTAATTGTTCTTTACAAAAATATTTTTGTGATAAGATTATTTGATGTTTTTCACTTGCTGACATGAAGCATAGGAGGAACGAACATTTCGGTGACAATTAGTATAGTAACGTTTTTGAGCTTCAACAGACTGAAAATCACAAAATGTTTGAAAAATAATAATCCAGTTAACTTATAACTCGAAGTAATGTTTTTTTAGATGTACTGTATACTACAAACCTGACTAACAGAAATTAGAGAACCAGTGAAAACAAATATAGCATTGTTCATGTGCTTCTTTTCAGCTTTTCCATAGTGTATAAATGAGTGAACCTATTGATCTCATGTCTTGTGATGACTGTAGCATCTTTGAACTAGTAACTCACATTCCACACTCTGAGCAATTGACCGTATAATCCATATATTATACAATATGAGTGATAGTATCTCTCTGAATTTTGACAGTAGTGTATGCTACCAAAAATAAAATGCTATTATAATTTTTGGGTTAATCTCAAATCTGGTCGGCCTGAACTGTAAAGTGTACCAAACACCAAGAAGCAACAACTGTTTTATTATCTCTGATTTCATAATGATTTTTAAACTAGGTTCATTTCGAGACAAGACTAAATCTCAAAACTAAACTGATTTGAGAAATTACCCTACTTACGAATAAAGTTCACTGCATACCATTCAATTCACTTTATATTTATGGCTCAATCACTTTGATGGACAAAAGATAGACAATAAGTTCTGATTACATAAGAGTACTAGAGAACTAGTGCATGTGATTCCAATGTTCAGGCATTTAAATTAACATTCCGTGACCTCTGACTTAATTCCTTATGTCTAAATGAATGTTACACTGGATTTATTCTGTTTTGTCACTGGCGTAGTGATATTGCATCGTACTTTTAATAATGTTTGTTTGACAATAGCATTTCTCTGCTTGATATTATCTGATATAATGATAAACACTCTTATAATTATAGAATTACAAAATAACAACTAGACAAAATATCAACTCATTCATCCTACTTAAAATAAAATAAAGCCATTTTTAGCAGATACGTTTAAACTAGAAACTAGGATATTTTACTTGTGAGCTATTTGTTGTGTCTACTGTTTTTTGGACAAACTTAATTATGATTTCAGTATTCAAAAACAAAAAAAGAAACACTAACATATTCATAAATATTTATTCAGCTGCTACAAAGTGCTTTAAATTTACGAAAGGAAAACTTATTTACTTGTTTGTTGACATCATTGCTCCAATGACAAAATAGTGAATTATGCAACTTTTCACCATTCAAAGCTTACAACGCGCGACAAAATACTGTATGTGTAAGAAATTAAAAAAAACAAAATGCACGACGAAGTCAAAGAGAATTGTATGCGTATGTGATAAATCTGTTTAAAATACGTATTATAATAATGTATACAGATATTCTGAATACTTATAAGTGGTCATTTGAAGTTTATTATGTACACATATTTATATCAGAAGGGGGTTTTGTGAAGATTTTAGTAATTTATATACTTGAGATCATGAGTCAATTGCAGCTAGACTACCATCGAAAACGTGGAAGCACTGGACGGCCGTTTCGTCCTATTGTGGGACTCATCATCACTGTGCATCCACGATGCCTCACGAGATTCGAACCCAAGACCTACCAGTCTCGCAACAGAGCACTTAACCGATAAACCACCGTTGGATGCTGGCTCATTGGTCTATCGGTTAAGTGCTCTGTTGCGAGACTGGTAGGTCTTGGGTTCGAATCTCGTGAGGCATCGTGGATGCACAGTGATGATGAGTCTCACAATAGGACGAAACGGCCGTCCAACGTGTAGTATAAAGTCGTAAACAGTGTAAATGAATAAACAGAATGTGTACGGATACGTGTAGCAAGTTCATCACAACTAGTATTTTAACAAATAAATATGACAAAAAATCACATGTATTAATGCCGACTCTTACCGCTGATGGATGTTAGATTGTTTGTTATAGCTGTATTCTTTTGATAATCATCAGTATTACTATTGAACTGCAGAGAGGGCACGTAATCAGAAGCAAACACTGGTTGTTTTAAAATGTTTATAATATTGACTAAAATTCGTTTTTAACTTTATTAATTTGGTCCAAGATTTTAATCCTTCTTAATAAATGTTCTAGTAAGAATTAAAGGTCTTTTCAAAGTTAAACAAAATATACTGATAATCGAATGACAGCATTTTTATATTTACCTTCCAGGTTTTTGCTAAAGTATTTTATAGACTATTACTGAATATTAAATTCTTATGGTAACTAATCATTAAAATGAAAAACCTTTAACAATTGTTTTACTGAGAAGGGGTTTTGTGGAGATTTAGTATTTTCATAGTTGAAAGCAAGAGTCAATTGAAGCTAGACTACAATCGAAAACCTGGAAGCACTGAACGGACGTTTCATTCTATTGTGGGACTCCTCAGCAATGCACATTCACGATCTCGCCTCACGAGATTCGAACCCAGGACCTACCAGTCTCGCACCAGATCGTGGATGCGCGCTGCTGAGCAGTCCCACAATAGGAAGAGACGGCCGTTCAGTGCTTCCAGGTTTTCCCTGATGGTCTAGCTTCAAATGAATAGACAAATAAATAATGACTTGACTAGTTTATTAAATAGGTAACTTTTAGAACAAAAACGTAAATCTATTAAACATTGTGTAATTATCAAATTCGGTTCGTAACTTTGTATCTTATAAAATGAAATATTATTAATGTAGTATGAAATGCAATCTACGCAACTGAGAAAAAACAGCCTATGCCTAACACAATATAGATAAACGGCATAATAGATAGTAAATGGAGTAAAAAAAGGAGAAAAAACTCCGGTAAAATACCAGAAAATTTCAGCCCAAAAAATCGATTGTAAATTAGAATGGACATAATCCATAGCCGAACGCAAACTTATGAGTCCTCAGAAAAATCTAGAAAGTTTACTTTTTGTTTAACTCTTTTATGAGATGATCATTTGTGAGATGAAGGGGGAATATTTGTAACTCAAGATAACTTTAAATTTAGTTAGTATTGTTTGTTTGTTTGAATCTTCCCATTGATGTTTAGGACTACAACTGGCCAGTCTGTAATTGGCATATGTTCATACTATGCCTATTGCCTTGATATAGCCTTAATTCACAAGCATTGTAAGCAAAGATGGATAGTGGATAGCAATGAGAAATTATGTTGAAAATGCATTATCGCTTTCTGCACATTGGCAGGTAAAATTCCTAACGAGATACAGTTTTAAACACAAAAGTAGATACATGTGAAAGTAAATACGTACCACATGAAAATTAATCAAGTTATGTAGTTATGTTGGGATATGAATAGTAACAACAAAGATAATGATCATTTTTTCAGTTTATCTTTGGTTACAGTAAAGAGTTCTTAGCATAAAATATGCTCTAATGCAATTGATTACTTTTCATTGACGTTTTTTGTCTAACACAGATATATTTCTATGGAGTTTTATAAAACTTCTTATTTTGCAGTACTGATGAGGCTAAAAAGAAAATGCACTAACCAACAATAAAGTTCACACGAAATTTGCAGTATTTGGTTTTGCGACGATCATTGAGTTCAACCATCACATTCCAGAATAACTCTATAAAAATAATACAGTTGCATGCATTTTACAGCCAATTTAACAATTTTTCATTTTGTATTGTTCGTTTCTATCTTCCTATTGATGATTAGGACTGCAAATGATCAGTTTTTTATTGGCATATGTGCCTCCTGTATGGATTGCCTTGATATCGCATTAAGTTACAATCATTCTAAACAAAGATGGATGGTTGCTATCAATCCTCACAGGATGTACATATTACCAATAACAGACTGATCGATTGCAGTCCTGAATAACAATGGGGAGATACTAATAAACAACACTAATTGAATATAACTCCACCCCATTACACCAGCTAGTGGCTATCAGAATTCAGTAGTCAAGTGGATAACGCGATGGCGTCTAAAACGAACGGTACTGGGTTCGAGTTCTAGAGTGAAGATCAACTCTGGGATGCAGGTAAATTCAACTGACGAGTATGTTATTAAATAATTGAAATACAATAGGATTTTCTGGTACCAGTGATTATATTCAAATAAATTCCAATATCCTTCCGACGTATACCGCTCAAACAAACATGATTTGTTTTCATGTTAGTGAGTTATATAGAAAAAATGAATTGAAATATTGATTACAAATTAAAGCCTAATCGGGAACTATGAATTATTACGTAGAACAATAAATTGTGTTGTACGTCTAGTTTCCTCAATTTTTTTTCTTTATTATGTAATCATTATTATTATCATAATGTTGGTCATCCATTTCAAAATGATCTATGTTTCTACTTTCTCAGTTTTATTCTATCTAGTCTTTTCATTTTATTATTTTTGACTCGTTCAATGGTTCTTACTGCTTCTTAGTAACTAAAATATTTATTTATTTAACTATTCATTTCATTCCATTGAAAGTACAGAGTATAATCAGTTTTTAATTGAACACATATTCATTCGCATAGTACTCATTATTACACTGGATGTAATAGCAAATGACTATGGTTACGACTTATATTATAATAAGTAATTGTTATTGAAAATTATTTAATAGATATTACATATTTAACGAATTCAAAACGTGATAAACACAAGCAAATATCTTACTACAGCATCAGAGGTATTAATGATAGTGTAATTTAAATAATCAAAACCTCTTTAGAAATTGAACAACATGCTGTAATTATAAAATTTCTATTCATTTCTTAACATAACCAATCTATATTTTAAATTTGTCTAATCTATATTATTCATATCTGCATTAAACAGCTAACCTTCTAATCCTATTGAAATAATGACTACATAAGAAACTGAATGGTGAATTGTAGACTGTTGTAGCGGATTCATGTTTTAAAAACTACTACCTAGATAGATTTGATGAATTGATTTTGTAATTATCTAACTCTTCATTATTCCACTTGACTAATTTAGTTTGAATCCTCAATAGTTGTTATCTCCTAGTCTTTTACTATTCAGTAATACACAGACATGATCTGTTAATTCTTTATTGTCAGGGTATTTCACAATGTTTTTAAGACATTAACAATAAGAATCAGATATCTTAATTTTGCTTCCAAAAAAGGATGAATGAAATATGGATTTTTATCTTTTTATAGGTAAATATTTTAAAATTATTATAATATTATCACATTAAAGTGAAGTTGATACATGGATATTTTGCTTCGTTTTTTTAATTTCAATTTTAGTCGAAACGAAATAGTCTCACATCGCTTGGTCAAGACAGTGGAAATGGTGACAGTCTTGAAACAACAACTATGTCTTTTATTCCTATAACACAATCGATTTGGTTAAATAATACAATGAATGATATTTATGACAAACAGCCAGTCAATTTATCTTTAGTTCATGTATATACTCCATTGTCAAGTGTTAAAGAAATCGATTGTAATAATGGTAATATTAGTACTTCCAATAGCTTAACAATTCCCACCACTATAGCTACTACTGCTACACCGAATATTAGTAATACTACTACACCTGAGAATACTGTGAAGTATATTCATTGAACATTTTACTAATCACTTACTACTAAGAACTGAAATGTTTGAGAAATTTATATCACACAGCAAAGAGAACATCCAACACTTGACTCCGTACAGTAAACAGTTTATACTGTTTGATCTTGTAAATAGTAAACGTTTGCATTTCTCTGTTGTCAGTATATATGTTCATTGTTAATAGAATTGATTTCAAATATTATTAACTGATCTTTAAAAGCAAATAAATGAACAAGAATTATGAGTTTCAACATAAAAGGTATATATACATTATATTAGAAGAGAATAATTAATTTGTAAATGATTTTGAACTGAACTGTTCATTTGTGAAAGTTTCACATTCACTTTCATCATTCAAAAATCGTATTCACTGACGAGTTTAACATACTATGAAGGTGAGAGTTTTATATAATTTCAATGATAGAACGCTCATTATACAAGCTATTAACTAACTCGTTCTATTTATTTGAATATATGGAATTGAATTTCTGTTGCATTTTAATTACTGAAGATAAATGGAACGATAATTTTCTTTTTTCTTAATTGATGTTTATAGCAAAGACGTATTCTTTGTTTCTTAAGACCTATTATATAATAAATACAAAAAGCTCATACTATGATGTACTTTTTATTGTTTATTTTTTGAACTAATGGTTTCTCTATCAAAAGACATTTGGTGATACTACTAATTAATAAACCTAAAAATAAGAGAGCAAATTATATGTATAATAATATTTAAGGTGAATATGTTCCGAGCTCTTAAACCATACTATGGGACTGACAAACTGGTTATTTTCAGTTGTTGAATAAAGGGAACTTTTAGAGGACATATATGTTTTATAGTACTTTGTAACCACGAACTTGTCGTTTGTTAAACCATTGAAAATCAGTATATTACTTACTTATTTACGCCTGTTACTCCCAATGGAGCATAGGCCACCGACCAGCTTTCTTCAACTCATTCTGTCCTGGGCCTTCCCTTCTATTTCTATCCAACTTTTATTCATTCTTCTCATGTCTATCTCTATTTCATGGTGTAAGGTGAGGGCTTGCCTTGTGACGCGGTTGGGTGCTTTCCTCAATGTGTGTCCTATCCACTTCTAGCGCTTCTTCCTGATTTCTTCCTCGGATGGAATCTGGTTTGTTCTCTTCCACTGTAGTTTGTTGCTGACCGTGTCTGGTCAACGAAAATCAGTATATACATGATCAATATTTAGTGCTCTTCTTCGCCAGGGCCCACTCTCAATCGCACATTTAATTTGATCCAGGACCCACATATTCGTCGAGGGCAATATTATTAGGACACTATTCTGTGTTTCAATGCTTCTCGAATTACTAAAAACTAGATAGTTGAAATAAATGAAACAATTGATTATTAATTTCAATCAACAAAAGTTATTTTCTGTTAAAACTGGTTTACTTGTACCTCATATGAACTAACTTGTTTTATTGAATGAAGTAGATAGGGATTTCAAAATGCGGGTATGCGCTAATTTTCGTAATATTATCAAACTTAAAAACCAAAGTATAAATCGGTTAGTTTATGAGCTGAAAATACCACAATTCAGAATTAAAACTTTATTTACGTCTAGATCTTGTAAGGTGTAAACATATATTAGAACTCTAGTATAATGTAAAAACAGTTAGAAGACTTTGAAAATATACTTATCTCTTCACCTATAAAAACAATCGTCAATGCAGATTTTAAAAACATCAGGTATACTGATCATAAATTTTAACTTTAGGGGATTCGATTGAATAAACAGTAGTTGTTTGCAGAATTATACGAAACAAAAGCATAATACAAATAAAGGTTGGCTTTTAGCAAAAAATGTCAGTCTTAGAACTCAGTCTTAGAAATACCTGATATTAGATCTTGAAGAACATCAAACAGTGATAAAGTATTTTAAAAACATGATAGCTAAATGAATAAGGACATCGAATAAACACAAGAAATGAAATTTATTAGGTCACAGAAGAATTAAATTCATTCAGTATTGTTTGTTTGAATATTCCTATCAATGTGTTAGGACTGCAACTCGTCAGTCTGTAATTGGCATATGTTCATACTATGCCTATTGCCTTGATATAGCCTTAATTCACAAGCATTGTAAGCAAAGATGGATAGTGGCTAGCAGTGAGAAATTATGTTGAAAATGCATTATCGCTTTCTGCACATTGGCAGGTAAAATTCCTAACGAGATACAGTTTTAAACACAAAAGTAGATACATGTGAAAGTAAATACGTACCACATGAAAATTAATCAAGTTATGTAGTTATGTTGAGATATGAATAGTAACAACAAAGATAATGATCATTTTTTCATGGTAAGCAGAGATGGATAGTGGCTAGCAGTGGAATCCAGGACGCGCGTTTCGTCCTATTTGGGACTCGTCAGCTGGACCTACCTGCATCTCAGAGTTGATTTTCACTCTATGACTCGAACCCAGTACCCTCGCTTCAAATGCCATCGCGTTATCCACTCGGCCACTGAGTCCTGATAGCCACTTGCTTGTACATCCAGCTGACGAGTCTCAAATGGGACGAAACGCGCGTTCTGGATTCCACTGCTAGCTACTATCCATCTCTGCTTATCACAGAAAAATTGTTGCAAAATAGTACACATTTGAATGTTTCAATTTATTGCATACAACATTTGACGTTTCTAAAAACAATAATCTCTGTACAGTCTAAAGGAGAGATTAAGATTGTTCACTTTTCAGTTTTGTATGATTCTGATATTCACTGAATTACTGCTGATTGGAAGTTTAGAGATTTGTTATAATTGAACAATTAAACAAAACCTGAGATAAAACTGTGAATTGCACGATTTATGTAACTAAAATAAACCCTTTCATATGTTGATTTGATTCGCAAATCCGTTTCAATAGTTAATTTTCATTCGTAATTTTTACATTCAACGTCAAAGCATACCGTTGAATATCCAACACCAAGAATAGGACATCGTTTTACATGGTATGCCCAGTAAAGTACTTCATCTTAAAACTATTCACATCTCTTCCATAACAGAACTAAGAAGTTTTTCTTTATGCTAATACTGTTTGAGTTGGAATGAAGAATGCGCCTGATAGCTAATTGATGGATTAAATTTGTTAGTAAAAGTTCTCTATAGTAATGCTGTTCACAAAATATTTTAGTTCTTAAATATTGGTTGACCATTTACTAGATCACTTACTTCTAAACTATTGAAGTGTGAATTACTGTAAGATTTTTAAAAATCAGTCATCCACAAAGATCGTGAATGAAATCATAAATAAAATATGCAGATTATCCAAGATCTATTGGATTCAAAAATTTTGGTACAGCTTCCAATGGTTAGAAATATCATTTCCATAATCATGGAAAATTGACTGAAACTAGAGCGGAACACAATTGATGTGTTGTTACTTTTTACTAATGCATAAGTGAAGTTATTAAGCACTAAATACAAGTTGCTACACATGTATTTTAGGTGTTACAGCTTTTCACTAATGTTTAGCAACTGTTTACAAAAGCCGGTCAAATAATCTTTGATTTATAAGTACGTGGAGAGCAATTCATTAAAACACTAAATATAATTTGTAATATAATGTGGTTGTTACAACGTATGTTAAATAATCTTTGTATTTATCCCATCAGTACATAAACTTATTCAAGTAGCTCTACAAGAGTGATAAGTCAATTTTATTCCATTATGTGATACAAACTTAGTTAACTACTGAAGAACCCGAAATTAGACTGAGATATTTAACTGTCTCCTGAAGATCTAGTATAAAACCTGAATTTATGAACTTTTTATATACCATTGTAGTGAATGAGAACACAGGTGAGGACAACCGATTATTATTGTTCATACATTTTCATACCAATTGCGTTTCGTATCCGTTCTTTCATTATTGATCTTCTAATGAAATACATACTCTGCCTAACCATCATCATATACTACTTATGTAAATGTAAGCTACCCGCATCACACCATCCTGTTCCTCTAACTTACATATTGCAAAACGTTTTGTAAAGATTTCTACCACCTTTCTTAAACATTCACATAAAACACATAGCAAAACTAAACAAATCTTTTATACTAAGTCAGTAACAATACCCTAATTCAAACAAATTCTGTGATTATATTTTAATCAGTTCATAAATACAAAGGCGAATCTAGCATAAAATAATGTTTTAATCATTACTTACGTTTATATTTAAGTAATATCATTTATTAAAGTAGGATTTCAGATATGTCACAATTTCTTTCACTAAAAGTTAATATACTAACAGTCTGAAAGGATTTTGTGAAGATTTAGTATTTTCATAAGTGAAAGCGTGAGTCAATTGAAGCTAGACCACCATTAAAAACCTGGAAGCACTGGACGTTCTACTGTGGGACTCCTCATCAGTGCGCATCCAGGATCCCGCCTCACGAGATTCAAACCCAGGACATACCAGTCTCGAGCCAGAGCACTTAACCTCTAGACCACTGAGCCGGCATCCGATGGTGTGTATGTCTAACTCTAACCAATCCACGAAGTTTTATTTACCTATTAACTAAAATATAATCTCTTAAAGATTATCTAATAATATAACAAATAATTTTTGTTACTTTTGAATTGAATAAAATAAAACAAAACAGATTTTCTTCTTCTTTTTTGTTTTACTTTTAATCAATTTTCAATCTTAACAATTCAATTTGTTTTGTTTGTTATTTATTCTGATGTAACATAAATAAAAAATAAAGTGAACGCTATTGTTGTTAATTATCTTCATTTTCTCTTTTATTATTTTGTTTTTCTGTTTGATACAAAATTATGGTATAGTATTGTACTCTATGATTTCTTTTCCTTATTATTAAACAATTATAAAGTAAACATTCTTGTTTAAATGTTATGTCATATTCTAAAATGTAATACAATGTGTTACATAATGTAGAAAGTAAGAATTATTGAATAACATAATAAACTTTAAATTCATTTAATATTGTTTGTTTGAATCTTTCCATTGATGTTTAAGACTGCAACTGACCAGTCTCTTATTGGCATATATGTGCATAGTGTGTGTATTGTCTCGATATAGCCTTAATTCATAAGCATTGTAAACTTTCAATATTATATTTGATTAGTTTTGATAGTTGTATTAATTTGGTATGTATATGTTGATTGTTTGAATGACAGTTATATTATCCTGTATAAGGGTAATAGTACAAATAACATGTAAAATAAACCATATATTCAAATTTTTGATAATGATATGGTAAATATGTTAGTTTATTTTGTAAAATAAATTATACACTGAGATTAGTTTAAAAGAGATAGAACTGTTATTGGTTTACCAGTTATGTAATTCAATATACAAGTGATCAAGTATATCCAGGTGAGACTGTTTGGTTAGTTAAGTAATTTTATTATGTGATTCTACGTTAACTAACAAAAAGTGGTTTTATTTTATATCTTCATTGGTTCTACAATACAAAGATATATAGTTACAGCATTCTGAAGGTTTAATGTTATCAGATAAATGGTGTTGGATGATTAGGCTTTTACTAAGTGGTCATATTCGACTACAAGTTGCAGAGTAATTGGCTTTATTTTTTTATGTTGTCCTTTCTAACCCATACTACCAGGTGTTCTCTCAAGTATCAAGAAATGTTCTTCAATAAACGGTTTATGTACCTAAATTTGTATCAACAAGGGAATAAATCAATCTTTATCAAATCTGTCAA